TAACGAGACGGGGGCTCATCACGAGGACCTGTCCGTCGTTGAACGACCGACATCCGCGAGCGCCCTGCAGCATCCCGCGGCGGGGTCGGGATGGACCCGGAGCGAGGGTGCGGGGTCGAGCCGCCGCCGCGCGCCGAAGACGAGCGCCGGTCCGGTTCAAGAAGAATCATGAAGCTGGAGCCGGAACACGCTGGCAGGTGGGAGACGGAGAGCGGGAAGTCGCCTCGGACGCATCTGCAAGGAGTTCTTCCGCCCGCCGGTCGCCTGCTCGATCGCTCGAGAAGGATGGCAAGCGGAGGACAGGTGGACTGTGGGTGGTGACTGTGGCGTCGGTGGGAGGGTGGGGGGGGGGTGAGAGAGAGAGAGAGAGAGAGAGAGAGAGAGAGAGAGAGAGAGAGAGAGAGAGAGAGAGAGAACGTGAGGTACATCTGAACGCGTGCGGAGAGAGAGAGACATGAGAGAAAGAGAGACATGCGAGGGAGAAGCACGCAAGAGAGAGAAATAAAGAGATGAGAGAGAGAACGTGAAGTACACCTGAACGTGCAAGGAGAGAGTGGGTGGTGAGTGAGACAACGAACGCGATACACATACATGGGTATGTGGTATACGGGTATGCGGTACATGGGTATGTCGTATGTGGTACATGGGTATGTCGTATGTAGCTCTATGTGCAAGCATGCGGCTAGAATGCGCAACACACGGCTAGTGATGAGGAACCAATAACCGACTACATGCAAGAACTATGAAGAATGCAAGACTAGATCGCAGCCTGAGAACACACGACCAATGACCGTGGTGCACGCTTAGCAAGCGAGTAACTCGGCTCAATATTACGCACGCAATATAGATATCATCTGCGACAGGGAATGCTATGGCGCCTGACAGAATCTTAATTATTATACTTGTCATAGAAAGTACAGTTAAGCAATGCATACCTTGAGACTGTCACTGAGTTTGGCCAGTCCTTCTGCGCTGGCCGAATGGAGTTCCATTTTCATGGTGGAGATATATTTCATGGCCTGTAAAGCCCACTCGTATGCCTGTAATAAACGATACAACACTGCATATTACCTGGCAATTTTCTACAGAAAGCTTACATTCTCAAACGGTAACATGTTTGTTACATGCACAGATGGTTTCTAGGCTTGTTTTGGGTGCAGAGTGGAAATGTAAAATTATCACTTCAGGCCCAACACGCTCTCCTCACGCGCACATACACACTGGAACGTACTGGATACGTACTGGAAGATGAGACGGGAAAGCCACCTCTGCTCGCTCACACCTCACGTGTAGGGATCACAGTTACACTGAGCTCCCTGGTGGTTACTGATGTTAGGCACTGCGCGTTAAGTAGTTGCTACAGTGTTTTTGTTGTCTAGCAGGTACGCTCTCCCAGCTAGCATTAGCAGTACTGACGTCAACTGGGAACTCCAATTAACCTACCTGCAGCTGTTGTGCCACATGACTAAGCCACTTTGCCTTCTTTTGTCATCAAGGTTCTTTAGCATTTGTGTTTGTAAGGAGTGGTGGGAGTTGAATGTGGAGATCATGTGCGGCTTAGAGACGCAGGAATTAGCTGCAGCATTGTATTCATGTGAACAGAAGATTATACGCGGCCTGGGAATGTATAGGATTTACATTGAATCTTCTGTGTGCGTGCGCGTGGGTGTGTGTGTGTGTGTGGGTGTGTGTGTGTGTGGGTGTGTGTGTGTGGGGGTGTGTGTGTGTGTGTGTGTGCGTGCGTGTGTGTGCGTGCGTGCGTGCACGTACGTGTGTGCATTAGGTATATCATCTAGGTATTTTATAGATTGAACCAAAAATTACACAAACATATGACGTATTTTTGACCAGTTCGGATAAGTATATAATGCATATAATTATATACCTTACACAGGCTGAAGCACGCAGGTACGACCTTTGTCATAACATGCAACAGTCAAATACAACTACGTCGAGTATTTGGACACATGAAAAATCAAATCAGTCATTACCTTGTCTAGTAGCTTGTAGCACTGTGCAGTGTTTTCTATAACCTCTCTCGTGTCCTCTAGTCTCGCCGAGAAACCCTTCATCTCCCTCTTCAGTGTTTTTGACAGCTCTCGTACGCACACTCCCATCTCCTGGCTACCATCGGTTACAATGCCAGCCTCCTCCACCAGGTCTGCACCCTTCGCGATGTTCTCCTACAGCAACGACAGACAGCTATACTTAACGACCCGTGTAACTGACTTCACTAAATATATATATATATATACCCGCGCACGCTTTGCCGACGTCATCAGTAAACCTCTATGGCAACATCACTCTCCTTTGCTGGTACGGCTGTGAACCACACTCGACTGACCCCCAGACTATCTATTCGGAAACATCGCTAGTTAGTGGCTGATGTCAGGAGCCTGTCCGTGGTCGCGTAATCACAACGCAAACTGGATGACGTGGGAACTGGGAGAGCGGGCTTTGTGCCCGCAAATTGGTGATTGTAGCGAAGGAACGTCCTTAATTAAGTTGCGGTGCAAAACAAGCAATTGTTTTCACGGCGATTTCTGAAGTTGAAAACAGTGCATGAAAACGGCACGTTGTATATGCACATCTATAGGTAAGGGTCTAGTGATCTATAGGTCACGTAAATCATCGCTAGATGGTCTACGTACTCCTAATTACGGTTTGGAACTGACTACAACCAGAATCGCTTCCACGCTGCACCTACCCTCATTAAGGCGTATAGCTTCCGTAACACCAGTACTGCTTAAGACACAGAAAACCAAGGGTAATACGACACTCACTAATTAATTGCGATATGATGGAGTCAGGGTGAAACGGATGGTACTGACAGCAGATCAACCAGTAAACCATAACAATATGAAATGGAAATAATGAATATTCGGTGAATATATATATGAATATATATGATATTCGGCGAGGTATATGCGTATGGGATAGGCATTCAACCAGCAAATTTCTGGCACCCCATTATTATATTCTCTTAACTAGTATAAACGCAAGAAAATTATAGATATTTAGATAGTATATCAGGAGTGATTAATAATAGAGGCGTATGAATCACTCGAAACACAAGAAATTCAACATTTCAGATAGAATAATCATCTATTGTTATTCACTCCTGATATAATTATATATATAATTTTCTACATTATAGATTATTAATTGGTATTTAAACCCATGAACGTGATTAACATCTAGGCGACACTGGGGCGAGCTGATCAACCTACAACATGACAACACACACACGATAGCTGTTTAGCTAGTGGGTCACAGTCTAATGATAATTGCTTATAAACCAGCCCTAAGTAACTGCCACTATTTAAATAGTGATCGATAATAACTGTTCTATAAAAGCACATAAAATAACACAATGTATAATATAATTATATAATACATAAAATTATGCACAAGGTATCATTAGGCGCGTTCACACACAAGAAAAACCGCGATGCTAATCGCGATGAAATACCGAGATAATTGTGTCGTTGTTCACACAGGAGAATAATCGCGCTAATCGCCGATCGGGATAATTCTATTAATCGAACTGCGCATGCTCACTGCCGGAATGATTCTCACTGCGCATGCTCACTGCTCACTCGCTTGGAATGATGGGATAGAAACTACCGGGATTATTTGCGCGAGCGTTCACACACGCAAATAATCGCGCTAATTCCAAAGCGAGCGTTCACACACGCAAATAATCGCGCTAATTCCAAATAATCGCAGTCAAAAGTGCGATTTGGAGCGCGATGCTGATCGCGATTATTAGTGAGTATTATTGCGTTCACACTTGTAATAATCTCGGTATTTCGATCGCGATGCAAAAACCGGGATTTGCATCCCGCTTATTCGCGCCAGTGTGAACGCGCCTATTATACCAGGGGTGAATAATGTCAAATTGTCATTATGAAATAACAATGTCAAAATGATAATTTGTCATTATTTACCCCTGATTATAAATCGTTGTCAATAATATATCTTCAAATATCATAAATATGTAATATTGTATAAACTGATCGAATTAATTACAAAAATGTTATTTAACATTTCCAAAACTCATTATAATTTCTGTTATTAATTATGTTGAACACAGAACTAAGCATAAATATATAGTTTGATAGTAAGGTTAACACTTAATGAAATATTTTGACATTTAAGCAGCAGTAAATGCCAGGAGTAAATACCAGGAGTAATTTTGTGATTATTTACTCCCGAGAATGCTGATGCTTGCTGAATTCCATATGGTCAATTAGCAACCTACTTAGGCGCGTATGTATATACAGGTGTTTATGTTTTTTCTATAGTTAGGTGTGAACGTACCATGGCAGTGAAGTAGAACTTGTCAAAGTTTCTTTCCTGGTTGCGACTGTCTCTGAGGTTATCAGTGACGGCCTGGTGCTGAGTGAGTTCGGCCGCCGCCACTGTTCTCAGCCAGCTCAGTAGCTGCAAGTATACACACACATACATACATCATCACATATCACCATATACATACAAACACGCACTCACACACACGCGCACGCGCACGCGCACGCACATGCACACGCACACGCACATGCACACGCACACGCACAGACACACGCGCGCGCGCGCACGCACACGCACACGCACAGACACATTCACAGCCAGGGCAAGTTGTACAGTTTTACGAGCTAAAGAATCACAGTGGCCGAGGACCGCAGTTTCATAGATATAGTCGTAGACTGTTCAAGAAGAAGTTCAACACTGCACGCATTCAAGACCACAAAATAGTATATATATAACTTTGACAGACCTCTGTATTTCAGCAGAATAATTATCCACGCCACTTGTGCAATAAGACACTTGTGCAGAACGAATAATAAAATGTGCAACACTACTTTGACGCCACAGTTTTCCGCTTACACGACCGTTACACAAGAAACGCTATACTGCTTACGTTGTTGGACTCTTCCTCAAACGTCTTCATCTGCAGGCAGTTCTCGAGCTTGTGTATTCTGTTTTCGGCCGCCTTGGCAAGCTTCAGCATCACCTTCTGTACTTCTTTGTATAGAACTCCCACGCGCTCGACAGTGTCCCTGAAACATAGAAGCCCGCGTGAGATATATGCCATTCCCATGTAAAATATGATTCGCAGATGTACCACGTGATACGCATATATAGCATGTTACGTGCGGGTGATCTGGTTCGCGTGAGAGGAATTCGCACGGAATATTGTTATCCTTCCCCGTCCCTCTACACACTTATTTCTCTTACATATGAGTCACTCACATACGGACCTTCTTTTCCATTTCTCTCCCCCTCGCTATATGATATCCCTCTCGCATGTTCTTCTATCTCTTTATCCCTCCCTCCTTTCTTCATTCCTCCGTCTCTCTCTCTCTCTCTCTCTCTCTCTCTCTCTCTCTCTCTCTCTCTCTCTCTCTCTCTCTCTCTCTCTCTCTCTCTCTCTCTCTTTCTCGTTCTCTCTCTCTCTCTCTCTCTCTCTCTCTCTCTCTCTCTCTCTCTCTCTCTCTCTCTCGTTCTCTCTCTCTCTCTCGCTCTCTCTCTCTCGCCTTCCCAAGACCTCTTTCTCTCGCGCTATCTTTTCTCCCCTAATCCACACGAGAGGCCTTGACATTTTTCGACCAATCACAGCACATGATGCGTAAAAAGCGCCCTGCCCACTAAACAGTGAACAGCTAGGATATTTGTCACAACAAGGATGAGCACACCTCATGTGACAGTGCTGGTAATGTGCCGCGATGAGCTTAGCCCCCAGGCCAAACGCCCACGTTCCGACACGTACTCTCATTGCACGGAAGAAAACATACACCCACGCAACGCTACCAAAAACAAGAGTTAGCGCAATACACTATCTCGCGATCATAAATTTTAATAGCAACTATAGCTTCCTATGAGACTGTTTGTAGACAAAACTTCCACTGACAGAGACTTGTATTCGCGCTTGCCTTGTTCGCGGAGGGGTATTTATTATGTTTTATTATTATGTCCTATTATGTCTTTCAGCACACAAAAACTACCCATTCACGAAAATTATTACTTCCAAATAAGAATGCATATAAGTTTCGTGAATGGCAAGGACTGATTGCAGACATCGACCGTGCCATAAATTTGAATAAGATTTATTCTTTGAAACAGAGCAAAAAGGTATTGGAAAATAATTTGCACGTGGAGATTGTATGATCACGTGCAGCGAGACAGTTAGTGTTCATTGGAAATCAGTGTCACGCGATGAATAGAACTAGACTGCACGAGGCATCATCTCACAGACACTTTCTTCAACATGGATCATTAGACAAATCTTCTTAGTATTTTTTATAGCCGAATCTTTGGCACATATATGGTTGTGAATGGAATATGTTATACGTAGATGTTCTGAGCACGCACAACAAGGAAGGATAGCAGCACGCCCACGTGTAATTATGATAATTGTAGAAGAAAGTATGGACCCTTTCACTTTGTCATCCGCATAGAACACGGTAGCAGTATAAACCTGACAGCTACCCGAGACGATGAATCAAGATTACTACCGCAGCACAATTACAGGTCTTAGTTAATATATATATATGGGAGAGAGAGGGAGAGAGAGCTATATATATCGTGTATAAACCCGAGACGATGAATCAAGATTACTACCGCAGCACAATTACAGGTCTTAGTTAATATATATATATATATATATATACATATGGGAGAGAGAGGGAGAGAGATATATATCGTGTAATTCTGTAGTTCCTTGTCAACTTTACAGATTTTAAACAACGTGATCGCAAATACGGTGAAGGATGTGGCACGTCGTAAACCAGTTGTACGTTGATATTAATTGGCTGCTCGTAGTATGTTTTACCGTGTAATACTTTCTGCATGCACTCTGTAACAAAACGCGAGTTGTTTGAGTGTGGTGAGGGTACTACAGATTATTATTATTAACGAATATATTTGTAGTGAAATGATGTTCACATTTCACATGAATCTGTAGTTAATAACAGTAGAATTTATAGCAGGGTTTACAAGTTTGTGATTGGTGCCGTTAATCTGTTAGAACTAGTTTAGCCACTACCATGGCAAAAGATTGCACTCAATCCGACTATTCCAACTGAGCAAGCGATGGTTTTCTATCACGAAGATGCAGATCATACTCTAATGACACCATCATCACACATCCATATCACGACGCCAGGCAATAACTATACCAGCAATGTTAATTCTGCACAACTTTCTTTTGTGGAGATATACTAGGATTGCCTGACGAATTACACAGCGTAACTAATTGCAATCAATTCTAGTAATAATAACAATGATGACATGTATATGACTCGATAGATCGTATACTGTGACAATAAACTGTAATTAAACTACAATTACGACACACATAATGAGGCGTGAAAGCTGAAAATGCGCGTGTGACGCATTATATCAAGAGTACATAATAGAGATGTATTATAGATATGTAATAGATATGTATCTCTATTATGTACTCTTGATTATATATATATATATATATATATATATATA